GGACTAAAAATAAATTGAAAATTTCTAAATTGATACAATTGGCTATGAAACCATTTTTAACTGCACCCATCTTCCGCTCAGAAACACATTCAGGAACGAAGTACTGGATTGGTTTGGGGCAGGGGGCCTGCCTTTCCCACATTTTTTTTCTAAAAATAAATGTTTAATTTAGTATTTCATTCGACTCCACTAAGGTAAACCTAACACTCAGGCAATAGTAGTTCAGCAGGCAATGGGCCTGCCCTATCCACTTCTGTTCTTGAAAAATAATTTCTATATTCGTATGAAAATGCTTTCTGAAATGCGTGTTGCCCCCTCCCCTTAATTCATAGTAAAATCCCTGTTATGTTTATGTACCCAAGCCCCCCCCCCCCCCCCCCCCACTACTTATTAATAAGATTTTGGAGTTTGGAGAATTTCTTCTCTCTTCTTATTGGTCGAAGATTTTTTCACGTTTTTAATCCCCCTTTCCCTCCACTTTGATGTTACATACCTGATATATTTTTTTTCTTTGAAATAGAATGAGAAAATACAAACAAAAACAACTGATTATGTTTATTGTAATCATGTTTTTTTTTTTTTTTATTGTTTTTTGTTATATATCATAGTTTGCTTGGTGAGATTTTATCAATAAATCATACAAAAAACAATTAATTGTAGTTTATTTAGTCAATAAAATGATTAAGCCATCTTCAAAGCATAATGTTTTATTCATCAAGTAGCTAAATCTTCATATTAACCTCAAAAACAGCAATAATTGTAAAATATTTTTACAACAATTTATTAAGATAAATTGAGCAAAAAAAAAAAAAAAAAAAAAAAAAAAAAAAAAAAAATCCCATTATGGTGTTCATCATGTATATTTAAATGTATGTAGTTCCTTTTTTAATCGTTGCATTATTTAGCATATGCTCTTAGGAGGTCGGATGTTTAAGATTTTGAATAGATTTCAAGGAAGAAAAATAAGATACACCGAATATAAATATTCATATTTGTATTTTGGATTTTCACAATAATGTCTAATATGAACTTAAGTTTCTGATGCAGCATCAGTATGAAAAGAACTAGTTATAGATTGTTTTCATGTGGTGTTGTATGATTGCTAATTTTACTTGATTTCATTTAGTTTTTGATGAGCCTGAATTTTAAGTCAACATATTATACCACCATAATCGGAGATGAGGGGGCATATAGTTTTCGGCATGTCAGTCCATTCTAATTGTCTGTTTGTTAATCTGTTTGTCAAAAAAACCTTGAGCCCTGCCCCTAACTTTTAATCAGTTGGTTTTTGGACTTTCATATTGCAGATGTTTATGCCTTATGAATGCGTCCTTCGGGTAGCAGCATTCTTGGCCTTGACCTTGACTTTGAAGTTTGAAATATTTTTAACTAACTTTGACTTGGCCGCAACTTTGGAATAGTTGGTATTTAAGATTTCATATTTCACAAGTGGTTTGTTTTTTATGACAAGACCTTTCATTGGGTACAAGAAGTTTTAACGTCATGATCTTGACTTTAGAGTTTGTCCAACCTTGAAGAACTGTAACCTTTGTACTTACATCTAAAAGGCTGGTTAATGGGCTTTCACATTCCGAATGTCTAATTTAGGGGGGGAGGGGGGGGCAACTCTGGTTTTGTTGCGCAATATTTCGTGCAGCACAGTAAAATCAAACTTATTTACATTTTAAAGGCAATTATTTTCACAAAATTTATTGAATTAAACGAAATAAAGACATTACAGGCTGAAAAAATCTAATTCTAATTTCAAAAATGTTTTCTATTGATTTTTTAACTGATAGGTAGATGGACGTTCTAATAGTGTGTTTATGTTAACATAAAGTTCTTTAACCCTTTACATGTAACTACCAGAGATTTTGCATTTTTTCTGCAAAACTGCCTAAAAATTTCAAATTGAAATTTTAACATTTTCTAGTCACTTTTACATAAAGCAACCTATACATTTTCTGAAAGGTAAAATCTTAAAGTATTTAATTATGCAGAGTAAAATGACGTCGTGGTTGCCATGGCAACGAATGAGTCCCATTATTGCCAAAATATGTGTTTTTCCCCTTTTACATAATAGAAATACAAACAAATTTACAAATAATGTTTCCATAACAGAGGATTTAATGATACTATTCAAACAAAGCATACAAACAATTAGTTTTTAGTTATACTGGTCAATTTTATTTGATAGAAAGAGTTTATACAATCACACAATGTCTTTCGTCCGTAAGACTTTGGCTTTACAGCTGTCTGATTGTCGTAATTATAAGCAATTTACAAATCGCTTTCCCTCCTACAGTTCTTACCTGACTTCAATAAAATTTGGTACACTTTAATAGTGTACTAAGATACACAATTCATTATTTTAGTTTTTTTTTTTATTTCAATTAACAGTGTTGCCATGGTAACAAAATAGCAATTTTGAGAACGGGACTTCCTAACAAAACACAGGTATACTATATTCAGCAATTTTCAAATCGCTTTCCCTCCTACAGTTTTTGCCTGACTTCAATAAAATTTGGTACACGTAAAGAACACTAAGATACAAAATTCAATATTTTAGAATTTTTATTTCAATGAACAGTGTTGCCATGGTTACAAAAATAGCAACTTTGAGAAGGAACTTTCTAACAAAACATGGGTTTACTATATTCAATGCCATGGTACACATTAAAATTACAAATATCAATGTTACAAAAATTGACATATATTAAACGTTGGTCGGAGGGAGAGGAGGAGGGATATTGCTGAACATTGTCTCTAATTCGTTGGTTAAATGTTGATTTGATGTCCTCGGAATCATGCGAGAAAATGTCTCGCCTTAAATACCCGATTTTTTTCTTTTTGGAAAACTCATGTGTTCTAGAAGAAACAATATTAATGCCCAGTCATTTTTGACATCAAATGGTCCCCCATTTACTTTCAGAGTTTTATCACTGAATAAAATTACTTGCCTAGTTCCAGAGACCTGCATCTGAGAATTCACAACACCCTGATATGTACTCGAACATACAATATCACTAGTTCATCATTAAGTTTTAAAAGAAGGCCATGGGGAGAGTATGGCAAAGAACTACGCACACTAACTCTCGATTCCAGCCTATATTTTACACCCCTTTATTCAATAAAAATGAGAATTTTGCCATTAATTTATTTTTTATCCTGCAAACAAGAGTTCACTAGTGATTGAATTATAGTACTGTCGTATTGTAATTTTTGAATTTACCGGATGGAAGTAAATACAAAAATTACAATATTACAAAGTTCACCATAGGGATATATTGGAAATATCTTTAAAAATCTTCTTCTCAAGAACAGTTAAGCCATTATTAGTCATATTAATATATAAATATCATCAAGTAGTGTAGATTCAAGTTTGTTCAAATCAAGATCCCCACGGATAGGGCGAGGCCACAACAATGGGTCAGAGTTTTACATAGGAATACATAGGTGTAATAGTCGCCCGCGTGGCGCAGTGGTTAGAGCGTCTGCTCTAGAGTCGCGGAGTAAGGAGTTGATCCTTACGTCGCGGGTTCGAATCCCACTGTGGTACTTGGAGACCAGTCCTTCGGATGAGACCATATAAACCGAGGTCCCGTGTCGCAGTAGATGCTGGTACGAAAAAGATCCCTCACTGCTCAATGGCCGTAAGTGCCGAGTATAGGACAAAATTTGCAGCTCTCCACCGGCAAGTGGTGGCGTCTCAATATGAGTGAAAAATTCTCGAGAGGGACGTTAAACAACATGCAAACAAACAAACAAACATAGGTGTAATGGTTAAGGGGCATTCGAGTAAAATGCATTGAAAACCTGAAATAATGGAATGACCTGGCAACCCTTGGAATGGCCTAGCCAAACCAAAGTGTATATAAGCCAAAGCTTTGGGAAAGTCAGGCATTTAGAAGCTAGCTGAAGAAGTTGGATGCTGAATCAGCAATAATGAAGTTAAGGTATTCCATCTCTAATAGCAACAGATTCAATGAAATTGAATACATGACAGATATGTAGGTGTTTAACACTCAGTATATTTAGACATAATTTCCATTTATTACTACTAGCATGTAAGGGTGGGATGTGTCCTAATTTATGACCTTAAATTTTGGTAAGGGTTATCTCCCTCTGTTTTTATTTGAAAAATTCAAAAAAAAAAATTATCTGGTAAAAAAAAAAATAGTGTTCAATTGTCATTCTTTTTCTACTGTTTTATGCATCTTTCCACCACAGTATTTATTAATATTCTTTTTATTTGAATATTTATTTTTAAAAGAAAAATCGCTTGTCCCCTTAGACTTCAATGCAATCTTTGTTAATTAATTACTGCTTAGTAAATTACATTTTTGAAACTTTCTCTTGATAAATGCTTTTCTACTCTAAAATACTTTTACATAGGAAATATCTTTAAAATCTTCTTATCAAGAACCACTAAGCCATTATTAGTCATATTTATATAGAAGCAACCTTAGGTATTGTAGAATCAAGTTTGTTCAAATCATGGGGGCACAACAGAGGGTCAATTAAGTTTTGCATAAGAAAAAATATAGGAATCTTCTTGAAAAAATCTGCTCAAGAACAGCAAAGCCATGATTAGTCATATTATTACAGAAGCATACTTTGATAGTGTAGATTCAAATTTGTTCAAATTTAGCTTGGGTAGTGTTGGACCACAATGAGAGATCAGAGTTTTACATAGGAAAACATAGGATTGATTGATTGTATGTTGTTTTACGTACAAGAATTTTTCACTCGTAAAGAGACGTCACCATATACCGCTGAAGGGCTTTAAATTTAGATCTTTACTCGGCACTCAGGGTCATTGAGCAGTGGGGGATCTTTATCGTACCTACGCCTGCCGTGACATGGGCCTCGGTCATTAAGGTCTCATCTGAAGGACCCGCAACTTTCACTTCAAAGTGTTGAGCGCTTGGCGAAGGAACAGTTGCTACCTATTTTTTTATAGAATTAGGTCAGTCGCGGCCGGGGCTCAAACCCCTTACCTTCCGATCACGGAGCGAGAGCTCTACAGAATGAGCTACCATGACGGTGAAAAACATAGGAAAAGATCTTTAAAATTCTGTTTAAGAACAACAAAGCCATGATTAGTGAGGCAACCTGAGGTAGTTTAAATTAAAGCTTGCCCCCCCCCCTTCAATATTGAACTGATTACTGCTTCTTCCTAGCTAATGAGCTCAGGTGAGCGATGTGGCCCAGCCTCTTGTTGTATTTACTACCACCCGGTAAATTCAAAAATTACAATATGACATTATCAATACCAGTGTCAAATTGTTCATTGCTCTTAATCACAACTCTTTTTATAAGGGGTCTAGAAGATGTATATCCATTGAAATCAGGCTTTAAAACATCAAGAGATTTTGAAATAGTACTCAGATTTTATAATACTCATAGACATGGATAAATGATCCTTCATTTTTTCCATATGTTTAACTCATGTAATTTATCTGTAAACGTACCCCCCACCCCCACCCTCAGGAACAACAAGAGCTTTGGTATGAATTTGTTAAATAATAATTCAAAATTCCTGTAGAAAAGGGAAAGGGGGATGTTTAAAAAAAAAATTTCCGTTGATGTCAAAAGTGAAAAACAAAAGTTTTTCCAACGTTATAGAGCGTAGGCATAATTTCCGAATAATTCTGATTGTACATTCATTAACATTTCTCCACAGCTTTTAGAAAATGATAAAATGGCGGTTTTTATATTCAAAAGCGCATTTTGCTATTTTCGCGAGATGTTCTGGCAAATATTTAAAACACTTGCTCCGTTTTATTTTTGTTGTAGCAGTAGATTCAACTTTTAAGTTTCTTCAATACACATACTTGTAATCCCGGCTAATCTGTAAAGGATTAGTTGAGGGAGAATTTGTTAGTTTTCCATTTTTATCCAGTTTGATATAGACTTTTTCTTAACTCTGTGAAGACTGAAAAATGAATTTAACACGAACAAAGAAACCTGTGTTTCCTGTGTGTTTATTCAGAAAATTATTTCTATAAATATAGCAATCTGAAATTTATTTCTATAAATATAGCAATCTGATTAAAATAAGCTGTTTGTTTGGTTACGTTTACGACGTACGACGTAGTACTTTTGATATATTTTTTCATTGTGACAGTTTTTTTTTTCATCTTTTAATCATTAAAAAAGGATAACTGCGTTATCTATCCTGTTGCTTTAATAAAAATGCACTTTTCCTTTCAAAGTACACCAAGTACTAAAAAAAGATTTAAATATATATATTTTTTTATTTTTCAATAATAAGTCTGAAGATTAGGAAAATGGTAAGGATAGTATTAATTATTTGATTCATTATTTCTACTACATGTAGGACTGACACAAAATTCGACAGGAATTTCTGATACAATGGTTGCACGCAATCGGAGCGTTGGGTGAAAGACTATTTCTACATGTATATAATATATCTCCCATAGCTATGGAAAATTCCTTTTAATTTAGTAAATGTTTATGGCTCAAAACATGTCGTACATTAACTCTTCTTTACAAATAATTCATTTTTTAAAAAATTAAATTTGTTCCATATATCAAAAGAGCCAGTTTGTTTTACACTGAGCTCATGAACGATTTTATTGTGCACGTAAAACGTCAAATGACGTCATAGTGCATTTTGTGTGTTTTACTCGTAAAAGTTCCAATATTCAACAACAAATATCTCTGTAACGGATGTATGTACCTTATAATGTCCGGAATAAAAAATATAGGGCATATTCCCAGCTTTCAGGTTATGACATTCATTTTTTATTTTATTGTGTTTGTAATCTAGATAGCGCCACCAGAAGATAGCACAAAATCAGTCATTTATGCGTAGTTCTATCAACTTCCTGCAATGATATGCAATATTCAATCCAAGTTTATGATAATTTCTCAACATCACACAGAAAATTTTGTGTAGAAAAAACAATTAGTTTCTTCTCTAGTTTCAGAAAATATCAATTGTTTTGTTGTAACCCGAATATTGAGAAAACGCTAACAGTTAAATATCTGTGATGCTGAAAATGCGTCGAAATGCGTCTCTTGGGGTTAAAGGGTTAAGAGGAGGTCATAAAGAATATTATAAAAGAAAAGTATAAAATACGTGCTTTTGAAATTTTATACTCAGAAATTTGAAAATTTAAAATTATTTTTCTGATATAATTTGTATAAATCATTAGTATCTGTCATATTTTGTAGTACTCCATAAAAAAAAAAAAAAAAAAAAAAAAAAAAAAACAGGAAAATTTCATAAATTTTAACAATTTGATTATGACCAGCATCGTTACATTTTTTTTCTCCCAATTTTGGGAAAAGCTCACTAGTTTATTTTAAAAGCCGAAAAAAAAATTCTTCTTTTTTTTTTAATCGGTATGCAACTCATATATACATGTACATGTACATGTAAAGTTTAAGGCCACAGAGAGGAACATTAACTGACAGACGCAGTTACTGTGTACGTCATTTCAATCTGTTACAGTTAAAAAATATGATAGATAAGATTGGGGGGGGGGGCAATTCGACGCCGGCGACGGGCGTATGAGAAAACATGGGAGTAAAATTCTAGTTTGAAGATGATTTTCATTCTACCTTAGCTACTCTCATATGCAGACTCTAAATGACCAATGCGGAAGACAAATAATTTCGAATACATGTTGTTTAAAATTATTATATACAGCTGTAGATCAAAATTTTCTATTCGATGCTTAAAAAGTGGGGTGGCAGATTTTAGAAATAAGTAATCTTTACTTGAAAATAGATAATATGTTTTCCAATGGAAAGAAAAAGTAAATAATTTGAAATCAAATTGTGCGCTTTTTCTTTTGAAATAGAGCTGTTGAACCCCCCACCCCACCCCACCCCCACCCCCTGTTTTTTTTTTTTTTTTTTTTTTTTTTTTTTTTTTTTTTTTTTCAGCGAAGAAAAAATAGTCCGACTATGATCATATTGGAAAATCATGAAATAATTTATCTCACTCCACCAATTGTTCTTTTTGTTCTTACTCTTAATTTATTTTATCCTGCATTGTTTAATGTTTTCATTCACTCTTTTTTTTTTTAGAGCTATTTGAAACTGGTGATACAAATTACACAAAGGAACGAGTTTCGACGGAAATAATTTTCCCTGATTCAAATTCCCTTACAACCCATTCAATCAAGGATAAACTACCCGAGGAGCAAAGAAGACCTAAGAATATTCTATTTATTTCTATTATTTGTGTGAGTTGTGCTGCCATCTTGTTGTTTGGGTCATATTTATCATTAGTTTTGGGTGGAATCATCTCCAAAAAAGGACAAGCTCGCCGGACAAACCAATTAAAGAACGATGGATTTGAAATGGATACTGTTTGAGAGAAAACATGATATCCGCTTCTTTCAGGACTCTGGCTAAAATACGTTATATATATTATATACTTGTACCTACATGTATTTAGGAAATATGGGAAGATAAATAGCAAGTTCAAAGTCTTTAAAGAGAGCAACTATGAAAATAATCTTGTCATTGCCCGAATAGAAGTTGATATGTAATTTATTTTACCAAATGAAAACCAGGAGCTCTAAAATATGTAGAACAGTCTTAAAGGATTTTCTTGTTCAAATTAAATTCATAAGGGAAAAGAGTTTTAGATTATATCAATAAATATGATTTTCCAAACAAAATAAAATATTTGCATTTGTAAGCCTTAAATTTAAAGGCATAGCCGTTGCATGGTGAGGGAAAAATCAGTAAATGCTGTCAATTCTCTCTCTCTCTCTCTCTCTCTCTCTCTCTCTTGTCCGTTGTTTGCACATGCACTGTATCTCTATACGACTTCATTGGAGGACATCCGGGTTAGTAAATATCTATCCTACTTTAAATTTGGTAAAATTATTTGTCTCGATTTGCTCGTATTTTTTGATAGTCCTTATTTGTTCTATTTTTTTATCCCCCACCCCCCAAAAAAGTTAATAAGGCATCACATAAAGTAAATGACATTGGCCTGACTTAAATTAATAAGATGAAATGAAAAACAAAAAAAAAATTAAAGGGAATATTGTCTTCTTGAATATGTGAAAATTCATTGATTTTAAAAACAAACGATATGAAAAGAAGCTATCCTTATTCTTATTTCATTTACGTAGATTTTTAAAAATGTTCATAAATGATATTGATTAATTTTAGTTTAACATGTTTAATTTTATAAGATATTGTAGTTTAGTGTACAATTCAATTGTATAGCAATTTTATTTTTTAATTTCTATTGAGCTCTTCCTAAATAAACTAAAAATTTGTACTTACATATATATTTTGCACGTATATACGAGAGTATGTCATGTAATGTTCGAGGTTGAGTGCTGTTTCAGAGATTTTAATATTATTCAACGCATGTCAGACACTGTGAACACTCATCGCCGAGCACAACTGCAAGATAGTGTGGCAATATCTTATACTGTTACAGCAACAAACGTGTAAGGCCTGCAGGGAGGGTCTGTTTGTCCTTACAGAAAATCAAATGTGCTGATATATACCTGTCTAGTTTTGTGAAATTGCACTGGAGTTTGGACCTCCCGCCACCGTATCTTCTGTCTTCCCTGCTTTTCAGTGAGCAGGGAAAAAGGTGAATGTAAAAGAAAACTTAAGTAAATTAGAGAAACAAAAAAAAATTGCTGTAATGAAATATTCTATGATTATAGAAAAAAGAAAACATAATAATTTTATGTACATTGGAATACACTGAATACAGAAAGAGTTATCGCGCTTGCATTAACTTGGAAATTTTTGGCAGAGACAACATTCTGTAAATGCCCAATGGACATCGTGCTCAGGAAAAATCTAGTCTCGGGTTTGTTTTTTTTATTAAAATGAAGATTGAATTAAACTAATGCGAATTAAATTGCGTTCACACGACAGCTAATGCGAAATAAACTAATGCAAATTATAATTTTATTTCTACTTGTGTAACAAGGCTATTCAGTGAGGCTATTATGACGTCATTTACAAATCACGTCATATTGTGCAGAGCAGTCCTATTACACATTTGACAAAATGTCATAGTGTT